CCCAAAACCCATCCAGCCCCTGGGCACTGCCAGGGATCCAGGAACAATTCCTGCCCAAAATCCCACCTAAATCTACCCACTTTTACCTTAAAGCCATTCCCGGGGTCCTGTCCCTCCATCCCTCCATCCATCATCCCTCCATCTCTCCATCTCTCCATCTCTCCCTCCATCCATCCATCATCCCTCCATCCATCCATCATCCATCCATCCATCTCTCCATCCATCATCCATCCATCATCCATCATCCATCCATCCATCCATCATCCATCCATCATCCATCCATCATCCATCATCCATCCATCCATCATCCATCCATCATCCATCCATCCATCCATCATCCCTCCATCCCTCCATCCCTCCATCCATCATCCCTCCATCCATCATCCCTCCATCCATCCATCATCCCTCCATCTCTCCATCTCTCCATCTCTCCATCTCTCCATCCCTCCATCCCATCCATCCATCCATCCCATCCATCCCTCCATCTCTCCATCTCTCCATCTTTCCATCCCTCCATCCCTCCATCCATCATCCCTCCATCTCTCCATCCCTCCATCCCTCCATCCCTCCATCCATCATCCCTCCATCTCTCCATCTCTGTGACATCTGACCAGGAAAACTGGTGACCTGCCAGAGCCTTTTCCCAGTGTTCTTCAGTAAATGTTTTAAAATTTCATTCCTTCATTTTGTTTCTTAATTTAATTTCTTCATTTAATATCAATTCTATTTCAATATCAGAATAATAATAATAATAATAATAATAATAATAATAATAATAGTAGTACTGGAATAAGAAAGGATATAGCCACATAAGAAAAAGGTTGCTGGGTGTATTCTGAAGTTGCTATTTTTTATTTTACACTGAATAAAAAAATCCTATATATAATAAAAAATAATAGTAATAAATATATAATAAATAAATAGTAATAAATAAATAAATAGTAATAAATAAATAAATCCTATTTCTGGATCAAAACAGAGTGTGGATATATCCCAAATACTTGGCAAGTTCCAGCTACTTCCAAGTGGAATTCCAGTCTCTTTCCTGTTATGCCTTTTTCTATAATAATAACGGAATTAAGCAGCAGGAACTTTTCTGCCATGCAAGAAATTGTGGGATCAGGGACTGGCTAGAAGGGGAATTAGGTTAAAACATCAATATTTCAGGGAATTCCCAGCTGGAACGTGTCAGGCTAAGCCCGTGTCCATAGGGAAGCTGCTGGCACTCCTCCAGCAGGGCACTAAAATGTGGGAATTAGCACATGCACAGGCAGCACAGGATTCTGTGGGAAAGCCGCTGGAAGAGCGCTGTGGGATTTGGGAGCAGCCAAACCTCTTCCCTCAGGGGTTTCTCACCCGGGTTTGGGCTCCACATGCATTTCCTGGGACAGGCAGGGCATCATTGGCACTTGCCAGGTTCATTTGTGCCCTGCCTGTCCCAGCCCGAGTCCTTGGCGCTGCCCTGGGACGCTCCTGCCAAGGCTCCATATGGGATCCCAGAAATACAGCCGGAGGGGAGAGAGATTTAGCTCTTCCCTGTCTCCGTGGGCCTATCCATTTGGAGCAGCAATCCTCGGCTCTCCCTTCCCAAGGAACCTGCAAAAGGTCTCGGGGAGCTCTCTCAAGGCTGGGGGTTTGATTTACGGGGCAGGGATGGGGTTGGCGTCGGCCACGGAGGGAAGAGATTTATTTCCAGGGGTTCCATCTGTCCCACGCCTCATTCCAGGAGCCTCGGCCTCCATCCCATAATGTCTGCAGCCAGAGCCTTGGGATTCCCTCTGCTGAATTCCTGCAGAGCCCAAATTCACCTCTGTTTGTCAGAGCTCATCAGGAACGGGACTGGAATTCCAGCCTTTGCCACGGAAACCTGGCTGCAATACACCCACAGCAAAATTGTATTTGGTAGAGAACCCCAAAGGCAAAAGGATTTCTCCTTGGAAAATTGGAACCCCAAAGACAAAAAGATTTCCCCTTGGAAAATTGGAACCCCAAAGACAAAAGGATTTCTCCTTGGAAAATTGGAACTCCAAAGGCAAAAGGATTTCCCCTTAGAAAACTGGAATTCCAAAGGCAAAAGGATTTCCCCTTGGAAAATTGGAACTCCAAAGGCAAAAGGATTTCCCCTTGGAAAATTGTTTTGTTTGTGGAATTCCCTGATTTAGCCTCACTAATGGCACAGCACTGGTGTTTTCCCTGTTATTCCATGTGGGATTTTATTTGATTTGAGCTGGGATCTAAAATAAAATTGGGCAAGCCTATTGGTAACACAAGAATTCAGGATTTAAATGAAATTATTTTCTTCAAAACAAATATTTTATGGGGGGAAAACCCCACGTTTTTTCCTTGCTTTGTGAGAGAGGGACAATAAATTTTAAAAGCTCTGAAACTCAGCAAAACAGGGGATAAATTAATATTAATTAAACATTAAATATTAATATTAATATATTAGTATGTATTATATATAATATAATAAAATATATGATATATTATATCAATATATGATATATTATATTAATATATGAATATATTATATTATATTATATTATATTATGTTATGTTATGTTATGTTATGTTATGTTATGTTATGTTATGCTATATATAAATATTAATAGTAATATTAAATATTAATTAAATATTAATTAAATTAATTAAATTAATAAATTAATTAAATATTAATTAATACTAAATAAAGAATTAGGCTTTCCTTCCTCCACTCCCACAGTTTGTACCAGCTAGAATGTATTTATGGAAAATACGTAGTTTTAAGTATTTTTTTTTGTTTTCTTCAAAAGTATTTTAGTCTATAGGAAAAGACAATAAACAGAGATATTAATAGTTTATTTTGCATTAATTTGCTTTTCTGAGAATTCAGATAAAACATTGTTGATTCACGTGTCAAAATTTTACATGGAATTTATCCAAACAGTGACATTTCAGGCTGTTTCATGCCCATCTTTTTTAACAGCACAGAGATCAGAGTGGTCTGGATTCATTTTTGTCTCTTTCTGCATCAGGAGGATTATTGGACACACCAAAATAAATATTCACTGCTCTTATCCACGCTGCAATTCCCATCGCTGGGGTAATCCTGCTCCCAGATTTATGGGCGGCGAGCTTCAGGCTGAGATTCTCATTTCACCTTGACAACATGCCGGGCTCTTTTCCACGGAATATCCTGGCAAACACAAGGAAAAAGGGAATTTGTGAGCCTGAGCAGCAGCCTGGTGTTGCAGAGGGCTCCGGGTGCAGGGAGCAGTGGCTGCACTGGGAGCGGTGACACTGAGGAGATGCAGGGAGAGGACACAGGGAGTGGATTTAAGGTCAAAGTGGGGAGATTTCGATGGGGTATCGGGCAGGAGTTGTTCCCTGGGAGGGTGCTGAAGGCCTGGGATGGAATTCCCAGAGTTGGATCCCTGGCAGTGTTATCCCAAGTGGGTTTTTTCCCCGTGGTGTGGAAGAATCCAATCTCCACACAGAGTTTTGGGATTTATTCCCAGCTCTGCACAAAAAGGGCCTGGGCTGATCCCCCAAGCCAGCACACAATTCCAAAAACCTGTCACTTGTGAAAACGAGGTTCACATAACTTTTATAGAATTTAAAAGTTTAATAAAAAAACAATTAGGAGAAAAAAAATAAAGTATACAGATCTGGCCGGGTGTCTCTGCATTCACCTCACTGACAAAGGATTGTCCCTTAAAAACAGAACCCTGCTCCATATCCATAAATTCTCATACATATTCATACATTCTTCTGAGGATCTTTGGGGTTCTTCTGTTCAGTTTTCTCTTGCCCCCTTCCCAATAGATCAATCTTCTTGGCGCCATCGAGATTTACATTCCCTGATACCAGAAATGCAATAAATTCCTCCCCCAGGGTTCTGGTCACTGCTGTCTTCATCTGGGTAAGAGAGTTTACAAATGCAGGAGTTCTCCAGCTATATTTATTTTTTTTTTAGTCTTTGGGTTATACAAACAAAAGCAGTTTTTATTTTAATACTATGCCATAGCCTAACATATATGTATTATACTACTATTTCCAAATTTCATCAATAACAGAAATAAAGAAAACCATATTAATACAACAAAATTTCTCATTCTTATACACATAACATTCATTTTAATATTTGCGAAAAGCCAACAATATAAAAGGTATCTATAACAAATTTGTTTATAATTTCACCAAACAAAGGCACGAAGGTTCACTTGCTGGCATTCCACATCCCCTAATTAATTAACGTTCCATGTTAATCCTTCTCCAGCTTCTCACGCCGATTCCCGGTGTTCCTCTCTTTTTGGGGTTTCTCGGCTCGCAGGTGGCCACCGGCTCTCCCTGGAATTCCCTCCTTCCCCAGGGATCCAGCACAGCTGGCCAGCTGTTTTTATCGGCTTCTTCCTTATCTTGGCACTTCTGCCAAATGTCCTCGGCGCCGGCAAATTCTGTATTGCCTGTATCGGTGGGAATAAACGCGTTATCCTCCCCTTGGCCTGGGACCGCTGGCCAGCCCCGAACGCCATCCAGGCAATTCCACCGCTGCCGTTCCAGGAGCGGGACATCCCTTGGAGCTCATCCCGCCGCCTAAATCCGCCTTAAATCCGGCTGGCCCACCGACAGACCCGGAACATCCCGGAGCCGCCGCTTTGAGCAGGATTTTACACAGGATTGAGCAGGATTTTACACCGGCACATCCCGGAGGCTCCTCAGGAGCGCTCCGGGCCGGGCTGAGGGACACCGGGAGCAGCCCGGGACACGTGACACGGGGACACGTGATACAGGACTCACACGTGATACAGAGAGAACACGTGATACAGAGAGGACACGTGACGCGGGCGGAAGCGCGTGACCGGGCGGAAGCGCGTGACCGGCGGGTGACACCACGTGACCGGCGGGTGACACCACGTGACCGGCGGGTGACACCACGTGTCCCTCCCTCAGCCCGGCCATGGCGGGCGCGGTGGCGGCCGCGGGCTCCGCCGAGCACTTCCAGCAGCTGCTGCAGCGCCCGGACAGGTGAGGGGACAGCGG